AGTGGTGGAATTAAATGCAAGAGGGTTAGTGTTGGGCAAATTGAAACAGAAGAAGGAAAAAAAGGCAAAATGTTTTTTAAGGTGAAGGTTTGTCATGGAAATTCTTTCTGGTTTGGAGAATGAGTAGTCTGATTCAAGGAAGAAAGAAATCAGCAAATGCTGTAAGACCCTACTAGTGAGCTGTGGATTTCAACAGGCCGAGCAGATGTCTCCAAATGTTCTTTTCTTTTTCTTTTTTTCTTTTTTGTCTCATCCCCTACCTGATCTGGCTTCATGGCTGCTAGCTCGGCCAAATGAAGGCAGAACTCAGGGCCCACAGCCTAGAGGTAGTGAGAGCAAAACTAGGACCAGAAATGAACGGGGTGGGGGGACAGCTAGATAGAGAGTAGATTGGGAGTCACTTTGGAGAAGGTGAGGCATTTCTCTCCATTCTCTATGCTCCTGCCTAAGTCAGAAAGAGGTCGTTGAATTTTCTATAAGATTTTAAAAAAATGATAATGAGAGAAGAGCATTCTCTAATCTATTGTCTATACTGGGACACATTTGCGAGTAAATCAGTGGTTAACATTTCTGGTGGCATGACAGACATAGCCAGCACTGTCCTGCCGCTAAACCTGAGTAGGGCTGACATTCTTTCATCTCTAAGGAGTTCTCACAGGCAGTTTATTTTCTCTAAGTTGCTGTTTCTTGGCATCTCCCCTTCCCTTAAACCAGGGGTCCTCAAACTTTTTAAACAGGGGGCCAGTTCACTGTCCCTCAGACCGCTGGAGGGCCGGACTGCGGGCCCCAGGAGGAGTCAGCTGCTAAGCAGGACAGGCAGCGGCGGCAAAAACACCCGGCGGGCCGGATGAATGTCCTAGGTGGGCTGCATGTGGGCTGCATGTGGCCCGCAGGCCATAGTTTGAGGACGCCTGCCTAAGTATCCTAGGTGAAGAGAAGACAAGGCATATTCTTCATTTTTCTTTTAATATAGGAGAAAAGTCTGTCAGAGAGAGGTGGATGCAGAAGGGTTGCATTTTTTATTTCAGGCACATTTAAGTGAATGAAGGCTTTTGGTCTCCAAATTATTATTTTCCCTGGTAGATTAGGTATGAGTTCCTTTTCATTATGAAAGTTCTTTTCAATCCTTCCTACAAAACTGAGAACAGCTAGGGACACCAAGTTTGAAATAAGTCTGTGTGTTCAAGATACATATTGCTAAATCTGTGCATTTTACTTTCTGCATAAATGGTGTAAGACAAAGTTGGCTTTTAAAATGTTGAATGTTTGGGGGGGGAGAACAGAATATTCCGTACCCACTTTTTATTTAATAAATAATTTAAAAATGTTTTTATAGGTAAAGAGATAGCATATGGGGCCAGAAAAATGTTGTTTCTAATTATTTCACTCTTAGCACAATTTGTTTATTTCTTTTAACATTGGCAAAAATAAATCTATAGGCTGATTGATAACATTTTACTTTCTATGAATATGTTCTAGTAACAAGGGCATTTTCAAGATGCTACTAGAATGAAGTAAAATTTCAAAATCTGACAATCAGTTTAACAAAACCTAGTTGACAGGGATTACATGTCAGGTGGGAATCCTTCTTGCCTAGTTTCTTTCTGTCTTCCAACAAGTATGAAAAATTCATAAGTTATTCATATATGAAAAAAAATTTACCAAAGTTTTCTAATAGTGTTATCTTTGAAACTTAGATTTATCTTTCACAGATATATTTATAACATGAAAGCATATGTACAAAATATAAAAAGTGTCAAGTCTCTAAGTTAATTTTTAGATACATGTTCACCCTCCTGGGAACTTCTGTATGAATGCAAGGAAAGGATGAGTAACAATGACTTTATGTGAACATTGGGCATATTGCTCTCTTTGAGTTGTAAGTTATGGAAAGCTTGGGTAGGCCTGGAGTTGCTCAACAATAATAAATTTTATCAAACATTGTAGCTTCGAATCCAAAGAAAATATTAACTTCCCTTATTGTCCCTCATTCTGTAAATGTCACCCTGTCTATGTAAATTCTTACCAAGGCTCAGTGGTCCAAGACAGAATTATAAAATAGTTATCTAAAATACAATGAAAATTAATGTAAATTGAAAATTGATGTAATATTTTGCTTATTAAGTAATTGGGAGAATATGCTTTTCTTAAAAAATCTTCAAGTAAAACAAAAACTAATTTTCTGCATAGCTACTATTCTTACACAGTTTTTAATATCCATTCTACCTTTAAAACTATGCTTTGGAAATAGGTTCTCTTTTGCTAAATACTTTTTGAAGTCAATATTTTCTTAACATGAGGTAGCAAGCTTTCTAGCAGCATTTTGGGGGCTGTTACCCAAACGCAGTGTGGTTCGGTGGGATGCTGGGCTGGAGGGTATCCAAGTCATCCTGGAGACCTAGATTTGGTTGAAGGCACTCTTCTAGCTCTATTAATGTGGTGGGAGAGAAATAAAGCAATTTAAGAAGGGGCAGCATTTTTACAGGTAAGAAATAGATACCTAATTTCATTGCTATTCCTTTTCCTCCCAGATTGCATTGGGATGATTTTAATTATCAATCAATTGGTATTAAGTACCAAAATTTAGACACGTATTTCTAATTTACCAGATGTTTCCAAATTATTGTTTTAGGTGTTTTGTTATTATCACTTGGTTGGGTGACTAGTTTTACTTTTTTCTATGAAGAATTAGGAAGCAGTTAAGTAAGAAATGAAAAAAACGTGAGAAAAATGGGGAGTGATGCAGAAGATGTTAAATAGGCACTAATTTTTTAAGTCTAAAAATATAAACATTATACAAAATTAGCCTTCAGTTCTCCACTTGATCTCAAAAAACCTGTTTGATTATTGTGATACTTTGAAACTCATGCTGGCAGGACCTGCTTTATAGTGCTTCACTTGGGGCAAGTAATAAAAAACAAATGTGGCATGGTGGACACATTGATACTTCCTATGAATATATTCTATGAAATTCAAAGTATTCTCTAGATACTATCATTAAATAAAGTAAAATTTCAGCAAAACCCTCGCATCTATTTCTTTGTATAAATCACTTTCAAGGAGCTAAATGTCATGAATAGTTGTGTTTTCCCTTGAAAGTGATGAGATGGTGTACCAGTGGCAATTTTCTTGACATGTGGTTTATTGTATATTTGGGTTTCTTTTTTCTTTTCTTTTTTTTTATAGCAAAAAACTCTTTACAAGAGAACTTTTGGGGGGTGGGGGGGAGACAGAGTCTGACTATGTTGCCCTCAGTAGAGTGCTGTGGCATCCCAGCTCACATGAACCTCCAACTCTTGGGCTTATGGGATTCTCTTGCCTCAGCCTCCCAAATAACTTGGGAGAGTACAGGCGCCCACCACAACACAGGGCTATCTTTTGGTTGCAATTGTCATTGTTGTTTAGCAGGCCCGGGCTGGGCTGGTATTTGTTTAATCTTTTAAACAAGTGGTTATGACTTATCTGGAATAATGACTTTTCTCACAAGGAGAGTACTGTATTTTTTCCTTTTTATCAAATTTCATACCTCTCTAGATCAAACCTATTTTGCATCGACTATACATATGGAATGCATTTTGCTACTTATTTTCCTTAAGGATTTTTAAAAATTTTGCTCTTGGAATTTGGGACATGTTTTTAAGCTGAGTAGAATTTGCCTGCCCCATGGACATTTGTTATGTCAATGTAACTACTCCTTTTAAGAATAACAGCAGATGCATGGGTGAGTATAAATTTGGATATAAGAATTGATTTAGGGGGCGGTGCCTGTGGCTCAAAGGAGTAGGGCACTGGCCCCATATGCTGGAGGTGGTGGGTTCAAACTCAACCCTGGCCAAAAAAAAAAAAAAAAAAAGAATTGATTTAGGAGAATTTAAAAAAATTTTTTGCTGTAGTTTGAAGCCTATATGAATTTTGTTGAAATTTATATTGATCGTGAGATGAATATATGTAAAATATGATTTGGCTATTTGTTTTAACTGAGATAATTCTTGTCTTGCTGTTTAACAAAAGTAAAATAAAAATATTAAGGGATAGAGTAGAAATACAAAGTATTTAACAAAAGTAAAATAAAAATATTAAGGGATAGAGTAGAAATACAAGAAAATAGCCGTTTCCCAGACTTAGGTGCACACTGAAATCACCTAGGGATCTTTAAAGTATACTCCCATTCCCATGTGAATGGTGTGAGCTGTGATCTTGGCATTAGTGTTTTGAAAATATTTCCAGGTGTTTCTCATGTGAGCCCAGGTTTAAGAACTACTGCCCTACAGAATATGAGAAGCTAAATGTAAAACAGAAATCAGGGACTTTCAGAGTTTCAACTGTAGCTTTGAAGCCTTTGATATCTAATTGTAGGTAAAGGAATGGAAAGGTTATGAGTAATTTTAATTGTGATTGAAATTTACCTGATTTTGATTGGAATCTGGCCTGATTTTGGTAGAAAGAATTCCATTAAAGAGTTGACAAAATTTTTAGTGCCTTAGTGTTTATATTTTTTTTCCCATGAGTTGTGTAGAATTTTATAAGTGCCAAGGGATTTTTAAAAATGGAAATTACAGTATGGTCCATCTTAAACCACTAATGAGATGTGAGTAGCAGTTATAGGTATTTGGTGTTGGACTTTGACTATTTCTGTTCTGAACAAAGCAGTCACTTCCAATATGGCAGGAAAGTAGTGCCTTCTCTTCACCTCCATTCTAGGGCCCAGTAGTGTCCCTCCTCTGCCATCAGGTGCTTGAAGAAGAGGCCCAAGACTCCAGGGGATTTTGGCTAATACCCCCTTGTTGATTGTCTGAAGAAACAGTTTCTAATCAGCGGTGATGGATGTAAGGTTTTCCTGGGGCAGCTTTAAGACAAAAGGACCCTGATACGTACTGAAAGGAAAAGGAAGGGAAGGTAGAGAATTTCCTGGATGATTTAATGTAAGTGGATTAGATAATCCAAGGCTACCCCAAGTTAATATCACTGTCTCCAACACTGGATGGTCATCTGAGTTGTTTCAAAAAGATAAAAAAAAAAAAAAAAAGCAAAGCTTCACTTCTGTCTTTGAAATGACTTTTCAGCCAATTTGCTGAATAGGAAAAAGCATCATAAACGTTATTTGGTAGATTTGATTTACATTTTTATGATACTGGAAAGGAACAAAACGAGTTCTGAAATGAAAATAAATCAACTGTGGGCAAGTCAAAATGTTTCAGATGACAAATCACTTCATATTGGAAGGATTATTGGGGAGGATAGGAGTCGTAGGGAAACATAGTGGTGGGCTGATGAGTAAATAATGGGGCCTATGTTTGTTTTAACTCTGTCTGCTACACATCATATCCATTTATATGAAGTCCCAGGGGCTGCAAGTGACAGAGAGATCCTCATCTGTGACAAACAGGAGCATTTTTAGACTGCAGTGTGGCTGACCTCACCAAATCTTGGATGGTCTTTCCTGAGCACGGGGCTGGGATCTTGCCCCACACAGAGGAAAACGGTGACTGTGTTTCGAAGAGCAACCTCCTCTCTTCTTTTTGCTTTTGTGATTTTTGTGAACCACAAAAGTAACTGTGAGCCAGGGGTTAAGACTACAGTTTACCAGGCTCTCCTCTGTGGTTACTGACTACCTAGGTCTGTTCAGCCCCAACCCTTGCTGGCTAAAAGATCTCTCTCCACTCTGTCGGGGTTTGTAAACACGCTCCCAAGACACTCAGGAACACAGAACAATTTCTGAGGGCAATGGCTCTCCAGCTTCCTGTTAAACAAAAGGCTCCTTAACATTTGATTTCATTTTGGAATAACATTCACCTCATGATTCTACAATTAGCGAAAGGGATGGTCTCAGCAAAGGCACGGCTGTAGGAAGGATATTACCCGTGAGCATCCTTAGGGGACTGTGTTAGAGGTTTATTTCTTCTTGAAAAGTTTTGTGTGTCTTATTTTTAGATCTTTCAAAAAGATATCTTCAGAAGGTTCCATATGCATCCCCTCGGGCAGTCACTGCAAAAGTAGGGTAGACTTCATAAGCGGGGTATGGTGTCAGGTCTTGTCCGAGGGTCACTGCTTGTTTGAGCTGGGCTGCAGACACAGGGGCAGCTGCGTTGGGGATGGCGTAACCTGGAGAGGAGGCACAGAAAACTTCATGAGAGGAGTTCAGATCTGTTCTCTTTCTGAGTTAATGCCCTCTTTCAGGAATATGAACGTTTAACTTGTTGCATCAAGATCAAAGTGAATTTCCAAAAGGGACGTATTAGTTTGCATTCCCACCAGCAGTGTAGTAGTGTTCCCTTTTCTCCACAACCCCGCCAGCATCTGTGATTTTGGGATTTTGGGATATGGGCTAATCTAACTGGCATTAGATGATATCTCAGAGTGGTTTTGATTTGCATTTCTCTGATGATTAAGGATGGTGAGCCTTTTTTCCTATGTCTGTAGGCCATGTGTCTGTCTTCTTCAGAGAAGTTTCTCTTTAAGTCTCTTGCCCACCCTGAGATGGGATCACTTGTTCTCTTCTTGCTACTACACTTGAGTTCTCTGTGGATTCTGGTTATAAGACCTTTGTTGGAAGCATAACCAGCAAATATCTTTTCCCATTCTGAGGGTTGTCTACTTACTTTTCTTACTGTGTTCTTAGCTGACTCAGAAATCTAAATATAGATCTACCATTTGATCCTGTAATTCTTCTGTTAGGTATATACCGAGAAGACCATAAATCACGCTATAATACAGATATCTGTACCAGAATGTTCATTGCAGCCCAATTCACAATCGCTAGGTCATGGAAGAAGCCCAAGTGCCCATTGACCCGTGAATGGATCAATAAATTGTGGTGTATGTACACCATGGAGTACTATACAGCCACAAAGAAAGATGGAGACCTTGCCTCCTTCATGTTTACATGGATGGAGCTGGAAAATGTCCTCCTTAGCAAAGTATCTCAAGAATGGAAGAAAAAGTATCCAATGTACTCAACACTATTACGAAACTAATTGTTAGCTATCTTAGGAAAGCTACAATCCAAACGGAGCCCTAGACTACGGGGAGAGGGGGGGAGGGGAGGGGGAAGATGGGTAAAGAGAATGATATTGTGGGGATCACGCCTATGATTTATCCTATTAGGGTACATGTGAATTTGTCTAAAGGTTGAATATAAATGTCTTAACACAACAATTATGAGAAAGTCATGATGGCTATGTTAGCCAGTTGGATGAGAGTTTTCCAAACTGCATATGGAAGCAACACACTGTATCCTATGATAGAATTAATGTACACAATTATGATCTAATAAAAAATAAATTAAAAAAAAAGATCAAAGTGAACGTGTATGTTTTAAAAGGTGCTCTCAGGGGCACTTGAAAAGTCCCCAGTGATCCTGAAAGTGGAGTCAACCACCTGTGTCAGAAGCACTTGATTAGGAATGGGGGGAATAAGGTCTAAGAAACAGAACTGAGTTGATTGAAACTCGCAATTTAGAACTTTTTCAGAAGGTGTCACAATTTCTAAATGAGGAAAGGCGGTGGAGGATTGGCAGGGCATGGTGTGAATGCGTGCGGGGAAGGGGGGGCTCTGTAGGTCTGGTGCTGCTGCAGCCGAGCACTGGCCTAAATGTTAAAACCTTTGCTTTTACCCAGGAAGGCAGTGTGGAGACAGGGAGGCCAGCATAGAAAATGCTGTCAAGTTTAAGTGTCCTTCTGCCCAATACCTAAAAAGCAAATGCCTCTCTTGTCCATATCAGATCTAACTGTAATGGAAAAAGCAACTTGGTATCCCCCATCAAGCCTGTTTTTGACGTATTCACAGGCTTTGATGCTGGTTCTCACTTTCAGAGAACCAAAGGATTTGAGTGCTAAGGAAATTCATCCGTGTGCTTCCACATTAATATAGTGTCTAGAAGAAAACAAACAAGCTCCTATCGAAAGCAGTATGTTCCTGTTGTTTTACACTCAAACCTGAGTATTTCTGAGACGATTCAAAAATTATAAAAGACAAAAGAAAAAGGGAGAAGTATACTGAAGTAACAAATGGAACCTGTTTGTTTTAAAGCCCATGTAGTTGTGTGTGGCGGACGTCTGCCCAACCCCAGACACATTGATTTTTTTTTTTTTTCTGGTAGCTTCTCGGGAAGTGGTGGCAGGAAGCTAGTTGTATCATTTAAAAACAAAATTGAATCCACTCCTTGGCTCCTTCCCTTCAGTCAATAATGCTGACTAATGTGCTAGTGAAGTCTGGTACATTTTCCAAGGATATGAGAAACGTGTTAACAATTACTTTTATGATTTTGGCAACACTATTTCTAAAGGAAGTACATAGTATAACTGTGTGTATGTGTTTGAAGCACATACAGATGACACACATATATGTGTTTGAGGCACATTTTACCTCTAGGGACTTCGAATTTTCTTTTAAAATCTGGCTAATTTGTTAAGCACAAGGGTGTTTGTGTTTCAAACAGATTCTTCCCTTGCAGCCTGTTATTCTTTGCTTGACTCCACGGCAAAATTCTAAGAGAGGCTCTCTGATTCTTAGGCATTTCTGGGACAACTCCCATGCCCTTCATATTTTTAACTTAAGATAAAACCGTCTCAGGTACAAGCGAATCCTTTGTGATATAAAAGCAAACTTGCAAATTCTCCTGACCATGGCTTGTTATTTTTATAGTACACTAGTTAGGCATCTTTGCAGTGCAACCTTCGCGAGACAGAGGCTCAGTGTCCTCCGAGCACTCAGAAGCCCTGGCATAAGACCTGCGTGGACGGACATGTAAACGCCCTGTTGTGTGGAAAGGAAGCACCCGGCCATGGCTCTGCGCTGCCCAGGGAGGACTCACCCTCTGCATTGCCAGCTGTTGCCTCAACAACCTCCTAGGGACTCACCACAGAGTGTCCCCAGCTTCTTTAGAGCTACAAAGCTAAGATTGAGGTCACAGACTGATGTGTGGAGCGTGGTTAGTTTTAACCTCACTGGCCAGAATGGAGGATATGTTCACATTTTTTGAGAAAGTAAAAAAAAAAAGGAGTGAGCCGCAGGTGTTATGAATGTGAGGAATAGGGAAGTTCTCACACCTACACATGACCAATATATGAATTAAGGCATTGATAAGAATGTCACATTTCTAGGTGTAGTTAGAACTCTCTCACTTGACCTTATAGGGCATGCACTGACACAGTGACAGAATGACAGACTTCTTCCGTAGAAATAAACTCCTATTGCTAAAAAAAAAAAAAAAAAAATGGGGTCACTCTGACTGCTGAGAAAATATTTCCTAAAGAAGTTTCTTGCCTGGACCCCTTTCATCTCTAAGGGATTAATTTTTAATTATTAGCCTTTGTACATAATCAATGGGGGAAAAGTCTTTTATATGTGACCCTTGAAGGCGTTGTTGACCCGCAGATAGACTTTAAGCAACCACCGTATGCCTTAGACCAAAATTACAGAACAGATAAATGCAGTTCTAATTACTCGCATATTGAAAGGATCTGCTTGCCTCTTTCTGTGTCTTTCTCAAACACACAATTTTTGATTTAATTTAAGAAAAATGTGATCTACACATCGCTTTTGAATCAAAATAAAGAAGTAAATTGAAGGTTAGAATTTGGAAGGGAGCTTAAAGATTGATTAAAACTCATCAACATTGGCCAAACTGCTTCATCCTTCTAGGACTTGAGTTCTTTATCTGTACGGCGGGTGTTCTGAGTGATGTCCTGAGCATTTCTGAGGTTTAATGAGCTTTTAAGTGAGTGCCTAACACATGGTAAGAGCTCAAATAAACACCTGTTGTTCATAGTGGCAAACTCCCTTACTAAAAGTACAAACCAAACAGAAACCAGACTCAGAGCAAGTGACACATTCAAGACCATATGGTGGTAAATTCAACTTAAAGGTGAGCCGAGATCTGAACCCGCTCTGTTGCCCTGCTTGATTTTATTGCCTCAGCCTTTAATGGGTCATTCTGGTAACTTCATCTTGGTGCCTAGATGGTGCAAATCTGATTTATTGGTTGGAAGGTTCACAAACATCTCCATGAGTGCAGGTACCAAGAAGGGTTTCCCTAACACTCTCTGGAGGGTGCCATTTCTGGCACAATTTTTCCATACCTGGAAAAGCCGTAGCAGCAGCAGCTGCAGTCCCAGCGTCCCCTCCGTCTGTGGGGATTCCCAGCGTCTGCAGGGTGTACTCGGCAGCGTAGGTCTTTGCTTCATCCACATAGGCGCTTAGCTTTGGAGGCGTGAAGGGGTGGCTGGAAACACACGTCATCCGTCAGGGTAGGGCATTTTCAAACTTGTGCTACTGAGTCAGGTGAAAACCTCAGGCACTCATGGTCAGCTTTGTTAGATGTTGGATGATGGGATTTTGTGTGGGTACTTTTCATTCTCTTTGCTATTAAAGATTCTAAACTTAGGATGCATATAAGAATATTTGTGAATTGACCTAGAACATCCATGGTTGATGACATTCGTGGGGCATCCTTACAACTCACTACATGGCGTTTCTAAAGTATACACGAAACACAATGGTTTCTAAAATGTATAGAAATGCAAACTTAAGGTAAAATTTGGAAGGTAATCACCACTAACAGGTCATATCTTTGGTCTGGTAATTACCACTAACAGGTCATATCTTTGGAAATGATGGGGCGTGGTGGGGTAATGTTTGAAAATGGCGGTTTCATACAATCAAGCTAAATCATTAGCACAGATGAAAGGATGGCTTGTAATTTTCATTTCTATTACCTTTTACATTTTCACTTATTTTCTATTGGTTGATAATTCATTGTCTATGTCTATCGGGGGCTGTTAGATGCTAGTGTCATAGCTGGCACATCCCAGCTGCACATCTCAATGTTTGCATTTAATGCCAAATGAATCGGTGGTAGACACGAATGTTCATGTTGGTTAGACAGTGACTATGTGCCCGTAATGTCTAAGCATATCTTACTCTAAAACAAAAATGACAGGGAATTTGGAGAAGTTACACACATGGCAGGATTCTGGCCAGCCAGAGCAGGAATGGTGATCTTGTATAAGAATAGCTGTCTTTGGTCTTGCCCAATGGCAGAGTGTAGCTGGTACACTGGCTGTCCCCAGTTGTTTTTCTGACAAATTTCTTCTAATATCTGCAAGAGTTAAAAAAAAAAAAAAAGTGACATCCCCCTTAAATGTCACAGTGGCATTATTTCTCCAGTTTTCAGATTTTTAAACTCTAATTTTCAGAGTGTAAGCTCGTATGAAAGGAGATGAAATGGCACATAGTTTAATGACTCATAAAATTTAAGATGAACTCAATTTGAACTCCATTTAAAACGTTGTGTCTGAGACTTCATAAAAATCATTTTCACGCCATTTACTCTAATATGTTTTTAGTTTAGTCCATTAGCTGTAACTTTTTACCAAGAGCTTAATTTTGTGGTTTGGTTGGTGTACTTACTCTATTTTTTAGAAGCTGATGCCAATGCTGCAACCCTGGATAGATTTACTCATTCTTACACTCAATATTGTTGTTTATAATGGTTGTGGAAGATAATCTGAGACTATATTCTTATTTCATATCATTTGTTTTAGCATTTTAACCTCACATTTTCATAAAAATAGTTAGAAGCATTTAATGGATCCATATTTATTGATGAACATTCACAGATGGGTGATGACAATTGCAACTTTTAAAGAATTTGTTTGGTAAGACACTACTTCAGGTATTTTTATGATAGTCTGCTTTGTTTTTAATGACAGACATGATTTTTTTTCCTTCTATAATTACTGAAAACTAAATCTTTTCTAAAAACTGCTATTTTCTTCATTTCACAGCCATTTTTAGGGGTCCAGAGGTCCATCCTTTAGTCAGCAGATTCAGTATACTGTGCAAACAGGATGTAAGCCTGAGATCCCTGAGACTGAACAAGGCCCCAAGACGTGTCCCTGGCGTTTCTTATCTATTCTGACCCTAATCCAGCTGCAAACCCATGGCATTTTCCAGTTTATGAATTTGTAGATTGCTCTTATTTTCTCTATTAACGTTGTCTTTTTCATATTCTTGTAGCACTTCTTATTATCACCCACAAAGCATTCTCTAATGTTCCGGGGCAGTAATGAATTAGCTTCTGCTGGCAGATCTGTGCCTGCCTGTTTATGCCAGGTGAGCAGACCCACGCCGAAGGCACGCCCACTCCAGCTGCTGACTCTGGGGGCGGCACCTGTACGTCTGCAGTTCTGTTGGAAATTGATAGCTCTGTTACAGGGCTGCTTAGGCTCCGTCTATAATGGCTGGGGGTGACAGTCTTCCATTTCTAGGCCATACTTGTAAACATTCACAGACAAATGAAAGAGCTTACATTAGTTGATAGAGATCATTACTAACATATCAATAGAAAACTGACCAATTTCTAACCTGAGTTTAATGTAAAAAGAAAAGATCTCTTCTCAGAGTATAGCAGCTTTCAGAACTGTTATACAGAATTCGTGATTATTATATTTTTTATTCTCTTAAAAAGTTTCTAGGTATTTTAGGACTTCAGTTAGGTTCTTTATTTGGGGTTTTAGCCCAAGAGAGACTGGGTGACCAGCTTTTATATTATTTTCTGGGCAAGCTCCATCAGATCACTTACCAGATCTCATTATAATGTTCTGTTTATGTGTCAGATCCCCCACTGGATTGCCACGGCATTTTTGGTGGTAAGAATTTTATTATATTCACTTGTGCATCTCCAGCACATGGTACAGAAAAGTGGCCCAATCAGTACTTTCTGAACAAACCAGTGATCGTTGTTTTGCATTCTGATAGGCGTTCTCTTTTTTTAATTTCTAAAATTATTTTGCTTATCAATGGTACAAAAACCCTTTGTGCCCTTTTAATAGCACTCTTCCTCTTTTTGAAAATTTCTTCGGTCGGGGGAATAGAAATCTTAGATGTATAAATTTGTGTATATGAAAAAGTCATTAATCCCAACAACAGCAACAACAAAAATACCCAAGATAAGCTTTTAGAAAATCATGCACTCTTCTCAATTGCAATTATAAGGGCTACTACCAAAAACGTGAGGCTTGTCCCTGTGTCGTGGGAGTAAGGAAGTTTCCTTCAGGGTGCTATTACTCTGGTTATTCAGACAAATTGTATTTCAAGGAGAGCAGCGTATACTACACACCCACAGGGGAAAGTCTCAGGGTTCATACAGATCTTATTTTGTTTTAGTCTTAACCCTGGTGTTCAGTTTCCATACTGGAACAAGTTTTATATCTTTTAATTTTCCAATAGCAAAAACCACAGCCTCATGCAGAAACATGGAAATTCAGAGCTTTTAAGTGAAAGCAATAAAGATTCACCATAATGCCACTTGCCACATATAACCATTGTAGAAGACAAATTGATACGACTGAGGGCACTTCATACTTAACAGATTTACCTAAATAACATGGTGAGTGACTCTCTTAGACACTGTGTTTCTGAGAAAAGATATTTTCAATAGTCTATTCAGGGTTCCCTGTCACCAATATTTCATTTGCCAATCAACCTGACTTCAGATAATAGGTTCACATACACCTTATTCTGAGATGGCGTCTTTGCCTCATCTGTTTCCATTTAAAGTGTTGGTTGATAATGTTTAATGGTTTTCAGGTTCTTTGCATTTCAACAGATTATTTAAGGTTTTAAACTTCATGATTTAAAAAGTGAAAGGGCCTATAATGGAATAATGGCACTGAATGCTCAGTATTCCCTCAAAGTACATCACGTTGATTGGCTACTTTTATCTATTAAATACCCAGATACATAATAGCTCAAGTAGGGATCAAATCAAATCATTTGCTGAAAGGTGAGTGATGGTCATTGGCTCACCTTAGAAAACTATTTCTAGAATAATATTACCTACCTGGGGAGCAAGTTTAATCCCTTGGGGTTTTAGACTGACAGGATTCATCGGGGTGAGCTCCATTCCAGGTAAGATGTCATAGAGCTTATCGTCTCTCTTCTCTCCTTTGACCAGGTATCCACGCCCCAGGCCTGTGTATGCCAAATAGCCACGGCCGCCCAGTCCTCTCACTCCCGCAGCCCCTACAGGTACATTCATGTAAATTTCTAGGAATGTAAGAAGGCATTAAACTGAATCAAACCACCAGAAAATCACCCTGAATCTTACTGTAATGGAAAAGTTAGCCCACGTCACACTGATTATTGCCCTGAAGATGGGTCGGAAATTCTAGGATTCTAATGTAATGAGGCCCAGCGTAAGGTGAGGTTCAACGTATGTGTGTGTCTCTTGCTCTCTTTTTAAACTACCTGCGGAAGAAAACAATACCATCAAAGCTATGGATAAGTACATGAGCAATTAAGAAATTGGGTATAGAGAGAAGTTTTTCGATTTCTGTCTTGAATCGACCTTTTGCTGACATTTTCTGTAGATGAATAGAGGCTGGGAATGTGTTTATGAAAACTTTCCAACATAATATTATATGACCACTTGCATGGAGATCAGTCTTGCCTAGAGGTTGTCCCTGATCAGTACATGAGAAATGAATTCTAGCTTTCTCCTTATTGGAAACCAACATTTAGAAAGCATGCTTCAGAGTTCACCATCCCTCTCTTAGGTTCTTTTGCTGTGAGGCTTACATTTCCATTGAGTTTCATGCATAGATTCCTTTTGATTTTTGTTGTGCCATGTTGCTACTTTGATTTCCTACTGGTGGCATAAAGAGATAAAAATTAAGTTGATTACCCTTCATCCATGAATGTTATTCATTGGTTTCTTTCTTGTTATAAGGCATTTTTTCCTTTCATTTTCATTAGAGTGGAGTGTTTTTTTTTTTTTTTCCACATCACAACTGGTTGACAATTGACATTTAATGTATGGACTGCTTAATGACATGATTTTACATTATAAATGCATAATGTTTCAGTGTCATCATATAGACAGGTTTCTAAAAACCTGTTAGAGGAAATCCTGATGACTTCTTTTGCATGACAATTTCTGGGAGAGTGATTGTCTTGTGATTAGGGAACTTTTAAAGTTGTTGAAGGATGGTCAATTCTTTCCTTCTGAAAAATAGTAAAACACAGTAAGATAGTTTGTTCTCAGAGTAATCTGGATGTACCCTTTGCTTCTAAAGTCAACCCCATAATAAATTAATAAATTTACATATACAGTTTGTTGCATCGCCCAGATTTAGTGTCAGATTTAGGAGACAGAACTGGAGTTCTGTTGGCATTAGCCGTATCCTAGAACAATCAATTTTAAGGAGCCCAAAGGCAGAGATAAACTAGTTTCTTGGAAATAAAAAATGCTTTCTTTTTCATCTAGATTGCTTGAACTAACTAAGTCTGGAAATCTATTGAACATTTGGAATTCTTAAAGAATTCAAATGTGAAATATTTACTGACTGGCCATCAGATTGAATTTTTTTTTTTCTATTTGGTGTTTGTTTAGTTCCCCATATATTGAAGAAAAAAACTGATGTCCTTAAGAGTTTGGCTTTTCCAAAGATCTAAGACATCAGATAAAAGTATCTAATATTTCTGGGCAGGTCAGGTAAGAGCATCTTATGTATCTGTTAAACTACATTTATGATAATTTGTGATTTATACTTAAAGGTGGTGGTACATGTATCTTGAAATGTTTTTGTTATCTGAAGTGATCGGTTTCCATTGGGCTATACTCCTTTCCACTGAATGGGTTGTATTGAGTCACAGACAACTACAGGCTGATGTCTTAATGATACAGAAGAAGCTTACAGTTATGGAACTGGGTTTTAGTTTGTGCAAATTTTATGGGCCTGCACAAAGATCAAATCTGTGCACTAGGCTTGTTTATACCATGTTCCGACCAAGTCTTTTCAATAACCAGTTGTAATGTGAAAAAATATTCCCCTGAAAGGAAAGATATTGATATAATATTTGATTTTTAATAAACAATTTTCCAGTCCTTTTTTTCCCCAGTGGACCCATGCAATTAGTCTAAGACTACTGCAGTATAAATCATTTGAAATCTTGGGGTTAGTCTAAGGCGAGCACTGTCTGATGTTACCTCTAACAGAAGGGGCTCGGATAATGGCTCTGTTGCTGAGGTGTCCTTTGGTGGCTGGAAAATGAAGACTGGGGATTGCTGCATAGGCCTGGGGGGCATAGAAGACAGGAGCTCCAAGGTAGGTTGTGGTGGGGTCGTAAACATGGCCCAAAGAGTAGGTGTACTCTCCTTGCAATGTGGTGCCCCTTCCGCCTGTGCCGCGGGTGTACCGAACGTAGCTGTCCTTGTCCACTGGTTTGGCTAGGGTCACTTCAATGGGAGAACCATCCAGCACCTGTTACAGAGCAAAGAAGCAGCAGCATAAGATGATAGGAAGACGACCAAGTGCGGCTGAGACCTACCAACATGGCTCCCTCTCAGTGACACACTGTTTGCCGGGTTTCCTGACTGTTTCAGTTGTTTGCATCTTGTTTCTTTGTAGGTTTGTGTTTGTGCCAGTTGAATTTTCTGCAAGGCCAGATTTCTCATTATAATAGATTTAGTCCTGCATTCCTCTGCCCCATCTGACAGCACTGGAAACTCAGGACTGTATTTTAGTTATTTGGTTTAGATATCTCAAGAGCTAGGACAATATCTCATTAATCTGAGTGGCCCAAGCTCTGCACAATGTCTTTCATTTCATAGACTTCCAACAATATTTATTGAATCAATCAATATCACATCCAAAGCGCAATTCATCAGAATTTTCTTCTAATAGGCTTCCCTTCCTGACTTTCCTAATAGTCTCTCATATTGGAAACTTACAATGGCATGTCCTTCTTTTCACCCCTATCACCACTCAATGCCTGGGTCTGTGAATGAACCCCCTGTAGTTCTGTGAGGCCTTTTCCATTTTATTCCCACCTTAGGTTAAGCCCTTATTTTGTTCCACCTGGCTGTCTGCAATAGCTTTGTAACTAGTTTCCATTACATCTCTCTCTCAACTCTATAAAAAAGTCAATTCTTAGTAGGTTAATTTCCCAAAATTGTATTTGTGACCATTACTTCCCTGCATAAAAAAACCCCCAAACTTTAAAGCCTCTCTTTGTTTAATAAATTAAATATATATATTCATATGTATACTGAAAAGCCTTCATAGGTTCCAAGAAAACATGCTTTTAATTTTTCCATGCTACATTATAGTCAAATGTCATACTTAGTATATATTTAGTAATAATGTACATATATTTACTAATGAATATATTTTTACATGTTAAATGTAAACATTACTATAAAGTATGTAGCTATAAAAATTGGGAATTATCTGAATAATTTTCCATTGCAATTATACCAATTGTTTAGTATTTAATTGATGATTGGCAATCATGGTGTACATACAGGACGGTATCCAAATAGAGACAATCTGACTTACAAATTGTTTTCAAAGTAATAACTTACAAATTATTTCAAAGTAATAATCTTTTGAAGATACTAAATATCATGATCAGGGAAGATGAAATAATGTCCCTTAGACATGGATTTATGCATTAGTTTTTGCTTTGCAGTTTTCTTCTGATATTTCAGAATCAGTACATTTTTTTCCCTTGACACGCAAACTTTTTTGAGTTTGAGTGGGCCCCCGAGAAGCTCATCTGCCAGAGACCTCCCTGTGTCTGAAGGACCCAGGCTGAGGAGTCCTCCTTTGCCCTCCAGATCCCCTCCCACTAGTTCCAGCCTGTGCTCTGCTCTGGGAGGCTTCCTTACAGGGCATCCTTCTCAGAGGTCTTGGGTGTTCTGGATTATGACTAAGTTTGGCCCATGGGGAACACTGGTAGGAGGTTGAAGAAAGAGACAGCAGTGAATTGGGGACATTCACTTTCCTGGCTCCCTCTTTGAGAGGTCACCTCAGGCTGGCTGTGTCCCTTGATTAAAGGTCACTACTTCTATCAAAGAGACCTGCTCTATACCATCACCACCTGTTCAGGATTCCTATTAATTCTCCACCCTCTCGTGCTCTGACTCCAGAAATGCTATTAACTACAGGTGCTTGCATTCTCTTGGGATTGTGCTATGCTCCACTCACATTTTTGCAATTAATTCCTTTGCTACGTGGTTTCTGCTGGGGCCCTGCAAGATCAGCCCATGTGCACTGAACTCCAACCAAACCACTCTCCGTTACTGTTCTCCTATCTTGTCTAGCTTGTCTCAGATTTTGTGCCTCTTTCTAAGGCTGCCTCTCCTTTTCATATTTTGTCTTTTGAAATTATACCCAATGTTCATAACTCCTCTTACATATCATCCTCACATCCAGGTAGATTTTCTGATTCTTTATGACCTGCTGCTGCTTCTGCAATTTCTCACCATTTTTCTCTTTTTATGACACCTAATCTGCCTATTTTATACTTTGCACAGGTGTTTGTGTATTTGTCTTGTTCCTCCAACAAACTTTTAGATTGTTGACCACTCACCTTTGGTTTTTTTTTTTTTTTTTTTTTTGGTATCCCAGATCTAATTAGCATGGTAAGTGGCCTACAGAAAGTTTTTGATGTTTATTGGATTGGTATGCAAATATTACATTGGTTTCCATACACACATTTACGGTAAGGATATTGAAGCTAGTTTTTCCTCACACCTTGCTCTTGGCAAAGGGAGAGATGCTTAGCCTTCCACAGTTGAAATGTCAAACAGTGATTTTGATATGTTTTTTGATAGTGAGCCTCTAAAAGATTTATGTAGGTGATAATCTCTTTGAAGTAATAAGAGAAAATAGAAATTGGGAAAAACACCCTGAAGTGCTCTACTCCAACCCCCTCTTTCTAAGGAAATTGAAGGGTAATGGCTTGCCCCAGTTAGAACAACTTTGACATAGAGTTGGGCATATTAGGTGCGTTTCTATATTAGGCATCTTAAATGACTGAGGCGGCTGGGTCAGAACTGGAGAAAGCTGGAGTAAGACAGATGTGCAGAAATGCTCTTTGGGGTAGAACATCCACACCAAACTTTGATGAAACCCTGTCCGTGTTTGTTCTTCGTCCTACATTACCTTCCCATTTAAAGCTTTCATAGCCTCAATTGCATCGTCTCGGTTACTGAAGTGCACAAAAGCATAGTCTCGAATTTTCTTCACCCTCTCCACAGCACCTGGAAATGAATGAGTGAAACTTGAGATGGCTCTGAAAATATCTTTGAGCACCTAGCTTCCAGGAGTTCTGTTTTTTTTGAGACCCAATATTTAAGGAAGTTATTATCAAGAGTATTTAACAAGTCCAGGTTTTAAATTCTACATATTCAGGTATTAAATTCTACATATTCAGGTATTAAATTCTACATATTCAGATTTTGTTTGTAATTTTTAAATAACATTTATATTCCAATTTATTATAATTAGTAACTTGCTAGATTTTCAAGCTTAGGGATGACATCTTACTTGGCATCTTATTTAATATAAAGGATAGTACCTTATGCATGACAAAATATTTGTTGAATTGTTGGATTCAATTATTGGTTTTCTTATAAATGTGTATTTAGGTGATTACCTTTTTAAGTTTTAGGGTCTCCCCAATACTTCATCTCTTTTGTCTTATATAATAGAATTTAGAGTTTTAGGACAGACTTAGCAGTGATTTACTTGAAATTTTCTTCACTTTACTTATTTTTAACTTAAATATTAAGACACTATGCTTCTGACAAGGTAAATGAGATCTGAGTCTCACACCTAGGAACTAGAACCAGATCTCCTAGATCCTTATCTAATATTCTTTAGATTAAAAAAAAAAAGATGTTTCTGAAAGAACATCTGAGAACTAAGACAGTTTTCTACCATGCTGTCATATCTAAAAATTGGAAACAACGTGAATATCTACGGATTCCACTCTGAGGAATGTCTTCTATGGAAACATTCCTACAGTATGTGGAAGGATCTTGCATAAGAATATCAATTACATGTATATCACTGTTGAAATAGCAAAAAGAAAACAACTTCAGGTCCATTTTCATGGGAGTGTCTACATCTGGTACATTTATCCAATAACAAGGAATATTTAAAGAGAACAAAATAGTATATATACAGGGAAAGATGTCAGTTGTATATTTAATTTTAAAAAACTTATACAATAATGTAGCATTTTTAAAATCCCAACCTACATAGATGTGCACACAAGTATAAATATATAGAAAGAAAACTGGAAAGATAGAGACCAAATAACAGATTACTTCAGGAATGATTCATATTTTAACTGATATACTTTGATATTTTATAAATACTGACAAGATGTATATTATTTATGTAATAAAAACTAACAAACCAAGCTTATTTTTATGTAGAGGAACTGCTGACCACGTTGACGGCAACATTTACAAATTGTTTGAAAGCTGTAGCAAGATAGTTGAATGTTATCTTTGTAGAATATTGTTGCTTGCTCAATTTGAAAAATAGACCTTTTGTTTAGAGCGCAGGTGATATGGAAACCAGCTTAACCACTGTCAATTTAGCATGCCAGTGCTTCCCTTTTAGCTCACCCTCACTGGGGTGTATTTTAAGAGTCCAGGGAGACCACAGAGAATGAGACAGCCTGCTGGGGTCGGGGGGAGAAAAATAAGTCTTTCCTTTCTTTCCTGATCAAAGTCCAGTTATCCTGGTAGATTCAATGTCACACAGGCAGTTAGAGTCTCTACCACATGGTTCAATGACTGTGGCTGTCTTCTTTTTGGGGAATAATAGTAGGCACTCAGTGTAGGAATAATTTAAACCATTGTGATACTTCTCTTTTCACTCCCTCAGCCTTCAACTCCTGACTCTTATGACCAGTTATACAGAACAAAATTGGCCAGAGGGAGAGAATAAACGCAGGTACCTGAGAACACGAAGCAAGAGACATGGAATTAACTGAACTTCCAATATGGTCTCTGTTCCCTTCAGTGTCAGGTGGAAGGATTGTTATGGCTTAAGGCGTCCTCAAACTATGGCCCGTGGGCCACATGCAGCCCACCTAGGACATTTATCCTGCCCGCCAGGTGTTTTTGCTGCCGCCACCTGTCCTGTTTAGCAGCTGACTCGTCCTGGGGCCCGCAGTCCAGCCCTCCAACGATCTGAGGGACAGTGAACTGGCCCCCTGTTTAAAACGTTTGAGGACCCCTGGCTTAACCCCATGGCGCGTCTTGGTCATTGTTAGGGAGGTTGATCGGCCGACTGTGACCTCCACCCTTTTCGTCTTTGTTCTGTTCATCCTTCCGTGTCATTCTCCACCAGGCTCCCCTAGTCTGTTAGCTCCCTGAGAACAGGATCTGTCTCAGAGGCATCATCTTCACCCAGCTCTGGCCTATTGCCTTAGACACAGGGCCTCCTCAGTAAACACTCGTGGAATCAGGGAATATTTTCAGCCTATTCACCCTCCTGCTTCTATCCTCCACACTAGTTACCTGGCATTTGAGATGATAATGAATTTAGGTGTTGTGAAAGTCTCCTTGCAGATATGGGAAATCATCTTGCATTTTTGCATGATAATGCTCAAGCATACCTGCTTTTGGAAAACTTAACATATAAAAATTTAGCCTCCTAGAACAGAACATTTAGAAAGTTAGAGTTTGTATCATAAAAGATAGTTTTCTCTACAGTAGTATTCGCCACATGGTAAAGAAGAAAAAGGACCTCTGAAATCATGACACAGGGAAGCAGAAAAATATTACTGTTTATTATCAACTTGTCAGCAACACACCAATTTCCCTGAGGAGAAACACACCTGTGTGCCAACGGAAAGTTTATCAATGGGCTATGGTTCTCCAAGAGTGGTCCCCGACTGGCATCAGCTTCTCCTGGGAGTCTAGTAGAAATGAAAATACTTGAGCCACCCTAGATGGGCCAAGTGGTGCATATTTTAACCAGGAGATTCTGATGCTGCCAGATCATTGCAGGAAAATCAGATTTTGTAGAATGCCTATAATTGAAACTTCGAAAGACACCCCGCTAGCTACTTTGGGGTAGAACAAACATGTTCAGGCCCCAGGTTTTGTTCTGATTTTCATTTGTTCCTCTGGGTGGCAATACGGCATTTTCCAAGTTAATCATGGTTATATGATATATGGTCAAATATTTGGAGGGAATTTTCAGGTTCCACTGAGGGATCTAAACTTTAAATAGAATTTTTAAAGACTAAGTTGTCCTATTTCTCTCCACAATTGTTTTATTGCCTTGATAAAGTAATACATCCTTTCCATGGGAAGAGAAGCTAGTTAGCTCTGCTTTTACCCCTTAAGGTGGCGGATATATCTGCTAGTTGTTCACACCCTGCAATTCATGTTCATTTGCACAATGCCAGAAGGAACAAGCCACAGATCATTATAGAGCCCAGAGTTGTTCCAGTAGCCCCTGGATGTTCCTGGGAATTGCTGGACACACTTTAGGCCTGAGAGGGAGCTAAACAGATTTGGCATTGATTATTTGCATTATGATTAATAGGCCCAGGCACATGTCTGTCTTCAACATGCCAATAGGTAGTCTACAAACTAGGAAAGCGGGTAACTAATGACAAGGAAGCAGCCTTTTCCTATTAACCAGCCTGGAGTCAAATCTCGGATCTGCCACCTGCTAGCTGTGTGACCCTGGGTAAGCTACCTAACTACTCTGGGTCCTAGGTTTTTTAATCTAGAACAGAATGGAACAAATGAAGTAACCTATAGTATGGGGCTGTCATGATGAATAAAGGACATACACTGTGAAAGTGCTCACAGCAATGCCTGGAGCGTAGTGGGGCAGCAGTTTCAGTTTCTATACTGGAACATGGATTCACAGCTGTTGATGTGGAACCACCACATTGTCCTAAAATGTCAAGGGAGGAAGATTTCCTGAGGCTTGAGGGAGACAGATCTTTAAAAAGGGAGGAATCTTTAAAAAGGGGGAAATGACATCCTTACTAATTACCTTCACAGCCAATTATCAGTTTTTTACTTTGCTACACCTAAAATAGCATCCGGAGTTGGCAACAGGAAACGTGAGTGTATGAAATGAATATTCTCAGGTAGTTTTAACATGATAGCACCATGGGCCATGCTTATCAGCAACTTAGAGAATTTGCCAGGAGACTGAGATATTCTCAGTTATGAAAGGATGATGCTATTTGATAAATCCAGGCCACTGTTTCCCAGAGTATGTTCTAAGATACAATAATCCCACAGATGGTTTGCCCCAAAAGGTCCGTGTTCCAAAAGTTTGGCAATTAGGGCATCTTATAAGTCTGGACAATTAAGTTCCACTTTTTCTAGGATGAGTAATATCTACTAAAAGTTTATAGACGTTATGTTCTGGCTTGTTTTGGGGAAGTGCTCATTTGGGTATTATTTCTTAAAATGCTTTACTTGTCTTGGTGTTGTGGCTCCTATATTGAGAAGAAAGAGGTGGGGAGTCAACCTTAGTGCTTAGAATTGATACTGAAAAGTATTCACAAGATGAGTGGCAACTAATTATCCTGTCTACCTTCATTTTGGTCCTTTCCCTGCCTCTTTACCCAAATAAGTTTCTTAGGATTAATTGTTACCTTCTTATTGATGTACCTAAAGTATAAGGTTATTCCATTGGTTCTCAACTGGAGGTAATTTTTCCTGCCCCATTTCTCTACAGTGTCTTAAGACATTTTTGGTTGTTACATATTGGAGGTCGGTACTCATATCTATTGGGTAGTATCCTGGGATGTTGCTAAACATCCTATAATTCACAGGACAGAACCCCCATCTTCAAACCAAAAATCGTTCCAAAACATCATAGTGCTAAGGTTGAGAAACCCTTTGTCTGATCAGTGTAAAATTATAACATTGATAAATGTTGTAGGACTGTATGTTCCAATTTTCTCATCCAACAATAGAAACATGGTTTGAGTACTCTGTATGCAATTTTGAGAATGAGCTAAATGAAAGGTACCCTTATTTAAAGTTATGGGAAGTCATCTCAAGCATGAGTGCTTTTCGAGTGCATTTGTAAAAAATAATCTTATATGTATGCCTTACCTGGTTTAATATTGTTGAATTCCTTTTCGATCATCTCTTCAGAGGTAGACAGCATAAGGTTTCTGACATACAGGATTTTCACTGAAGACATCGTGTCTTCATCAACTTCTACTTCTGGCTCCGCCCAGTCCACTGCGATCGGATGGCCCCATAACTGAATTCTTCCTGTTGAAAATGATCACCCGAGCATGATTAATTATGTAGACATTTGTACAACATCATCTTATAGTGAGGGCTTTTTAAATTGAACTGAACCTGAGGTTTTGACTGAGGAAAATGACCAGTAAAATGGATAATTATTGATTTTAAGAGACATTCCAAATAAATACAGGAGTTGGCTAGAAGGGAGTTCTGTCTGACTAGTGGCTTAGAATGATTGAATATAAAGGGAACCAAGATGCAGTTTGAGAAAGAAGAGAAATGAGGCAGCATTGGGCACATTTGGCTCTTAGCTCTCTTAGGATGAAATATCAAGGTGAAATATCAAGAGAGAAAGGAAAAGAATGGATTTAGGGCTCAGACACAGTTCGACTCTGTAGAACATTTAAATAGTTACTAGGAAATATGTCTGCTGCTGTTGGAATCTGTGTTGCTATCTTGGCCAGGCACCACCACTGAGATGTCTAAAAAATGGTGGTGCATGGGTGGGGGTGCTGAGGCACCCCTAGTTTGTCCTTTGTCCCCTGCATATGGTCAGAGCTCAGACAAACTGTGGTTCCTCCTCATTTTCTGTCACAACAGGACTAACTTGAGAACCTGAAGAAAATTTTTTTTTATCCAAATTAAGAAGACAGGGGAGGAGCAGAAGAATATAATGAGAAATTGATATCTTAATGAAAGGGTCATTGTTACCTGTGATGACATCTATTTTTGTATTCCTACAATTACTATTTGTTGAGTGTCTTGTACCACCACGGATATTACATGTTTCCCATGGACTATCTCAATTCCTTCTCTCAGTAACCCTGTGAGGAGGGAAATGCCTCCCACTGTTATTGAAGAAGTGAGCTTGAGAGAGGATCACTTGCCTAGACCTGGTTCATTTTACCACTTTCCCCCTTTTGCTTTTTGATACACAGCTCCTTTATCCATAAACAGTGCAAATCCTGTTGAAGTCACGAGAGGAGCATGAGAATCAACTCAAATTCTAAATTTTGTTGGAAATCTAGTCAGTTTCTTGTTTTATTGTTTGGGAACAAGCTACAAAGCTTGAAAGGACAAAATCCAGAATTGTTGGAATGGTAAGGGTTTAGTTTAATCATTGTACGTGGGAGGCAATTATTTTCAATCAAAATGAATAAACAGATATCTCATGTTCATGGATTAGAAGAATTGTTATTGTTAAAAGGTTCACACTACCCAGAGCAGAACAATCTAGATTCAATGCAATCAATACCAAAATTCTAAGGACATTTTTCATAGAAATAGAAAACTTCTAAAATTTTGTATGGAATCACAAAAGAGCCAATTCAAAGCAATGAAATACAAAGGTCTAAGCTGGAGGCCCCACACTAGTTGATTTCAAAATTAGTAAGCCATAGTATATTACAAAGTTATAGTAACCCAGACAGTATAGTACTAACATAGAAATCGACATATAGACCAATGGAATGGAATAGAGTCCAGAAGTATATCCATGCATTTATGGCCAATTAACCTTTAACAAAGGTCTAAGGACATCCAATGGGGAAAGGACAGTCTTCAACAAATGGTGAAGAGAAAACTGGATAACCAGAGGCAGAATGAAACGGTGTCATTACCTTATACACAAAAATCAATTCAAAATGGATTAAAGACTTACATAAAAACCTGAACCTGTAAAACTGCTGAAAGTGAACATAGGGAAAATTTCATGACATTAGTCTGGGAAGTATGGTTTTGGATATGACCCCAAAGCACAGGGAGCAAAAGGAAGAAAAAATATTGCATGAAACTAAAAAGCTTCTGCATAGCAAAGGAAGGAACAGTGAAGAGACACCCTAAGGAACAGGAGAAAACAAGTTGTAAAGTCACCATCTTTTTTTTTATGGCTGACTCTTTTTTATTAACCTGGATGGAACTGAAACACATTCTTCTCATTAAAGCATCACAAGAATGGAAAAGCAAATATCCAATGTACTCAGTACTAATATGAAGCCAGAAGATAATCTAATTCACACTCACATAGGAGTAAAACTCAACTCAAGTTGGGGAGGAGGGGGAATGAGGGAAGAAGGGGAGGAGAGGAAAGGAATTGGTGTGTTCCCACTTAATTGGCACAATGTAGGGGTGTATGGCACACCTTTTGGGTGAGGGACACAACTACAAGATGGACTCTACTTAGCAAATTCAAATATTGTGACCTGGTTGTACCTCACATTAACCTGAAATAAAAAAGAAATGGAGAACATACTTGTAAATCATATATCTGATAAGGAGTTAATATCCATACAAATGGCCAACAGGTATGTGAAAAAATGCTCAAAATCACGAATCATCAGGGAAATACAAATATAAACTATAAGGAGATTATCACCTCACGCTTGGTAGAATGGCTATTATCAAGAAGATAAAAGATAATATTGGCAAATATATATGTAAATGGCAAAGATTTGAGGAAAAGGGAACCCTTGTTCAATGTTGGTGGAAATGTAAATTGGTATCATCATTATGAAACACATCAGGGAGGTTCCTCGAAAAGTTAAAAATAGAATCATGATCCAGTAATCACCTTACTGGCCCTACTGGAGATATATATATATATATATATATATATATATATATATATATGTAAATGGCTGAGGTGGGTTGATTACTTTAGCTCAGGAGTTCAAGACCCATTTGGGCAAGAGCAAGACCTGGTCTCTAAAAATAGCTGGCTGTAATGGTGGGCACTCAGAGTCCCAGCTACTTGGGGGCTGAGGCAAGAGGATCACTTGAGCCCCAGACTTTGAGGTTGCTGTGAACTATCATGTCATAGCACTCTACAGAGGGCCAAAAAAAAAAAATCAGTATGTCAAAGAGAGATCTGTATTCCCACGTTCATTGCAGCACTATTCACAACAGCCAAGATATGGAATCAATATGGAATTGATCTAAGTGTTCATCAACAGAAAATGGATGAAGAAATTATCAGAACTTTTTGACATCACATTGGTGGCTTGAAATCAAATGCAGCTGGAGTGTTAATACTGTGGAAATTGGCAAATGCTACAAAGCAGGGCTTTTGTTTTTCCCCCGGGAGCTGGCTGTTAAAAGATTTACCAGTTCATTACTGACCTCTGGACTGTCCTTCCTAACTCTGATATGATGGTCTGGACCTTAGCATTTAAAAAGTAGCTCAGTTAATTCTAACATGCAGCCAGAGTTGAGAATCCATGGCGTCCATATACCACAGCTTGTTAATTGATTCTTGGGTTGGTGGGCAGTCCCACCAGCAGTGTAGAAGTGTTCCCTTCTCCCCACATCCACACCAGCATCTGCTGTTTTGAGACTTTGTGATGAGGGCCATTCTCAACAACAAAAATAAGCAAATGGGACTTAATGAAACTGAAAAGCTTCTGTCCAGCTAAGGCGACAACAACCAAAGCAAATAGACAACCTACACGTTGGGAAAGGATTTTGCATATTTTGATTCAGACAAAAGTTTGATAACTAGGATCTACAGAGAACTCAAATTAATAAACATAAAAAAGTCAACAAACCCTTAGATCACTGGGCAAGAGAGATGACTAGAACCTTCTCTAAAGAAGACAGACGGGCTCGGTGCCTGTGGCTCAACTGGCTAAGGCGCCAGCCACGTACACCTAGGGTGGCAGGTTCGAATCCCCAGCCCGGACCCGCCAAACAACAATGACGGCTGCAACCAAAAAATAGCCGGGCGTTGTGGCGGGCGCCTGTGGTCCCAGCTACTTGGGAGGCGGAGGCAGGAGACTCGCTTGAGCCCAGGAGTTGGAGGTTGCTGTGAGCTGTGAGGCCATAGCACTCTACCCAGGGGGACAGCTTGAGGCTCTGTCTCAAAAAAAAAAAAAAAAAAAAAAAAGAAGACAGACGAATGGCTAACAACATGAAAAAATGCTCATCAGCCCTAATTATTAGAGAAATGCAAATGAAAACCACCCTGAGATATTTAACCCCAGTGAGAATGACTCTAAACTAAGTTTCTTATCTGAATCATCTTGAGTACATAGGATTCTTATTTCTACATTCTTGTGATGCTTTACTAAGAATAATGTGTTCCACACCCATCCAGGTTAATACAAAGGATGCAAAGTCTCCATCTTTTTTAATGGATGGATTCTGATACAAGGACAGTTAGGGTCCTCGTACACAGTAGGGGTTGGGGGTGGGGAGAGCTGAGAAAGAGAAGGACAGAGGGTGGGGGGTCAAGGGGTGTGGTGCACCTTTTGGAGGTGGGACCCAAATATAAGAAGGTCCTTATCTAACAAAAGCAATCAATGTAACCTGGTTCTAGGTACCCTCAATGTATCCCAACAATAAAAAAAAAAAAACTTAGTTTATCACTTTTAAATGATGGTTCAACAATACACTCTCACACAAAAACACCTCCAAAACCAAAAGTCCCCAACACGCTCTCCTTTTAATATTTTGCTTTTTGTCTTGGTGCATATAGTTTCTTCAGAACATGCACTCTTTCAGTGCAGTGTTTAGGTAACATGTTTTTAAAGAATGTCCCATGTCATTTAGAAGAGAGCAACTTATGTTCCAGATGCCTAATAAATGACTACCTCGTGGTTCCCAGGTGGTGCTATTTGCATGCCATGTAGAAGAATGCCCAGTATTATTATTAGCTGATAGGTTTAGCATTGGATCACAAAATTTGCACAAAGGAATCATCTGGTAAACTTAAAACACCTGTGCCCCAGCTCTATCCCTCAGTGAAGCAGAGTCAATTGATAAGGGTACCAGCGTTATTTAGAAGCCCTCCAGGTAATTCTAGCATGCAGCCCTGATGGACAACCATGGATTTAGACCCTGGGTCTCACATGTGGCCTGAGGTGCCTTTGCATCCTAGGAACTCATTATAAATGCAAATTATCAGCCCTGCACCAAACCCATGGAATCAGGTGGTGGGGTTTAGCAGTCTGTGGTTCAATAGGCTCTGCAAGTGATTCTGATGATGTCTGACGATGATGCTAGATTGTTTTCTTTGGAGGATCCCAATCCCAGGGAATGTCTTTATAGCCTGTGAGTTGGATGCAACAACTTTGTCTCATACACACTCTACAAATACGAGATTTGTCAAGAGGTAGCTATCACTGCCGGGAGAGGAGGTGAGTGGCTGGGAGCGTTCACTTCACTTAATGCCACAGTTTTCTGTCTCTATGTCTGGATGAAGGAAGAAAGAAAAGCTGCTGTGGTCCTTGTTCATCAATGTTCTTTCTTTCTTTCTTTCTCTCTCTTTTTTTTTTTTTTGCAGTTTTTGGCAAGGCTGGGTTTGAACCCGCCACCACCTCTGCCATATGGGGCCAGCACCCTACTCCTTTAAGCCACAGGTACCGCCCCTCATCAACTTTCTTAAAAGAGCTCTTTGTTCTTTATAACCAGGCTCTCCAGAGGGCTGAATTCCACTGAAATCCTTTGTTGTCATTGAGTAACAAGTAGAATGATCTAAGGGGACTTTATTCCGAGGTCTCATCAGGAGTGAAGTGGGCTGGCTGGCTCATGCACTGCTGGGCCTCCCCTTGTTGGTCTGCAGATGAGGCAGCCAGACTAAAATCCAGTGGTGTGGAACCCTGCTGAGGCTAGCTTAAAGGGCTGTAGGTGAGGGGGTCTGCTGGGATCACAGTGAATATAGGGAGTGAGTGGGGAGAGTGAGACAGTCTCTCTGTGTTGGCTGTGGCACAGGGAATCCATAAGGAAAATTTAGGAGCTTGTGTGCAAGCATGATGAGGGGCTTGAAAATTTCTGAAGCCTAGCCGCTTAGGCTTGCTGGGCCTAGTCAGCTCAACTTATGTGGAGACAGAAGCTTTTTTTGGTGGAAGAAGCTTTCAGGCATTCAGGCTTTGTAGAAACACTGATTGTCTGGACCCTGAAAACTGTCTTTCACCATCCTTCACGTCATTCTCCCCAACCCCCAAAACGACTTTACATAGCTCTTTCTACAGATAATGATGGCTGCTTCAATTGAGGGAGGAAAGTGACTAGTTCAAGGCTTGAATAGTGGCAGCGGGGTTCTCAAGGAGGTACTGGCTGAGCTGGGGTGAATGTCCTGAGCAAAGGAATGGCAGATCTTTCTAGAAAAGGTACAGCATTAGCAATAAAGGGGACAGAAATGAACATGGTGGTTATGTAGGACATCGAGGAGTCTGTCCCATAGAAAGGAGGGTTTTTTGTTGGGAAATAGAAGATAGCACATACGGTTGTAAAGGACTGGGGACGTGAATGAGAGGCTTTGAATAACAGGCTCAGAGATTTAGTCCTTATATACAGCCAGGAGCAGGTGGCACTCTTCAGCTATGATAGAGGTTGAATCCCTACCATTTGCAAGAACTTGTTGAAAGGATGATAAGATATTCTGCAGACTTTTATCTGGTGGTCATATTTACTATGGGGTAGGTAGCTGGTGGAGAGAATGATAAAGAGAAGAGCTAGGAGAACAATAGAGACCTTGAAAAATTGTCTGAAGTTTAGAATGGATGCATTTAGACAACAACAGTGGACTGAGAATGGTTGCGAGAGTCTTTTCAGTGGCAGAATTACTGGTGTTGAAGGTGAGAGGATTGAAGCATATAGCAAAATACTAAGTCCAGGTTACCAAGAGATGATATGCGTGGTTCACGAGTCTGTGATTTAGGTGACTTGAGCATTGGGTGGTGAAGAATGAAGAAGGTGGGGATGAAAAACTCTCCACCTTTCGAATCAAGTCAGCAATTTTTGGAGTTATCTCATTTTTTTTTCACTTCCATGAAAATATTATTTAAAAACTTTCTTTAAGCTACAATTCGGAGTCTTTTAAATTCAGAAATTAATGGTTATTGCCCAAATGTCACGTATCTTGTAGTATAGCACCTAACAAAGGTGTCTTTCTAACAAGAAATTTTATTTCTCTTTGCTCAAATTGCACAGAAATTATTAGACACCAGGGAGTCATACTATATCACTTAATCGTCACTGGGACAATGTATCACTTGAAATTTATTATTTCTGCGCTATAATGGATAATAGGTCCGGTTTCTATTTATTTTAGGATATATTTAATTTGAAGGCAACTTCTCCCTTTAAGGATTTATCATAGGATTGTTGTCACTTAAGATTCTGGAATTCTCCAGTCCATGTAAATTAGATTCAGTGCACAGAGGGAACATTTTTCAAAACTCACTCTGTGAAAACTTTAGGGAAAGTTAGAAACTGTGAGATATAAAAGATCATCAAAGATATAGGGAAACCCTCCACCTCCCAAATAAAAAGCAAATAAAAACCCTACTTGAGGTGGCACCTGTGGCTCAAAGGAGTAGGACGCCAGCCCCATATGCCGGAAGTGGCAAGTTCAAACCCAGCCCTGGCCAAAAACTGCAAAAAAAAAAAAAAACCCGGGAACCCCCCCCCCCCCACTTGTTTTGTCTGCTGAGTCAGGCAGGATGGAGCAGAGAAGCCTCATCTTTGAGAAGGGCGTTGCTAACCTGGCAGCAGCTTCCTCCGGGCCATGGCGGCTGCCCGATGGCTCTCATACTCCACAAAGGCAAAGCCCCGGTTCTTGCTTTTATCTGCAGCGCTTGGGTAGACGATGACGTCCACAACCCCTTCAGTGACCTTTCTCATCTCCGATAAGATCTCTTCTCTCTTTTTGGTTTTTGGGATCCCCCCGACAAACAACCGGCAGTTATCCACACTGGCACAAACCCCCAGGAGGCGTCCATTTCTGCGAAAAGAGCAGGTATTTGGCAGATGAGAATCTGTGTGTGATTAAGGGTGAAGGCTGAGTTTGCAAATATCTGGCCCTGGGTCTGGTGTGGCCTGCAGATGCAGGATGTTTGTTCTTCCGAGTGTTGAAACCAGGTTGGGACCATTGGGGTTATTTTTGAGAGATTATTAGTTATGTCAACATGGGCTGTATGTTTTCTAAAGGAAGAATATTATGTGAAGCGGAGAGGTACCTGCTCTCTGTAGACACCTGTGGATTCATCAGTTGTCATCCTGGTGTGTTCCCTGATGTGTCCCAGTCCTTAGGTCTCTGCACCTGGCCTGTGTTACTCACGTCATGTGCCTGGCTCTGCAGGCATTTGAATTTGCAACCTGTGATGTTCCCTTTCTTTTCTGGCCAAGGAGAAAAGCTGTACTGATGTGATGTTTATTAAAAATAGAACAAATCTTTAAACTTGAACAGGTTTTCACACACTATTTGGTCCACACAACAGTCCTATGTGGTGGGCAGATGAACTGGAGACTCTAAGAATACTTGCTTAAGATTTTATGGACTGTAAGAGGTGAAACTGACCCCTGGGATCTCAGTCCCTGTTTTTTCCACTGTGTGGAGTTGCTTATTAGCAAGTTGAAGTTAGACTTTCATAGGCTGCCATGGATTAATTAAATTATTCTGGAGGACATTTGACAAAATGTATCAAAGTCTTAAGTGTGCATAACTTTTGACCAAATAATCCCCTTTCTGGGAAAGTGTCCTTGGGAAATAAGGTGATTAGCAAGATTCATATTTAAGGATATTTATTGCTGCTACTTAGCCCCTAAACTGGAAATGAGCAAAATATCTCACAGTAAAGAACTGATTTAATTCATCTCAACTGAGATGTTGTTGGCTTTGAGACTGGACATTTCCTTGTATATCTCATAGTATGTTTCTCATCCTCAGTTCTAGATCATCAAATACCAATGGTGATATGTCAAGTCATTCAAAAGTACTTCCCCACTTTTCTAAATGTCCCCTAGGGTGGACAGTACTGTTCTTGGCTGAAAATCACTGGCAAATAAAACATGGGCATTCATCCCATAAAATGTCCTGAAGTCATTAAAAATAGTCATAGAGGAGAATGTTCACTGGTTTATAAAGAGTTCACGGTATGCTGCTGGGTTTTAAAAAAAGGCTGTAGAATAGGTATATGAGAAGGCCATTTTGATTGGAAATGTACAGACAAGCGGGAAAGATAATAAAATGTCAGCGGTCATCTTTCAGCAGCGAGGTTATGGAGACATGGTTTCAACTTTTACTACTTTCTGCTTTTTGATGTTTTCCATGTGTTGGAGATTAGGCTTGTGACCTTTACGATAACACAAAGTTATTGAACATAGGTAAGGTAGCCACTCAGTCATTCATAAACTCTCTGTAGGAGGAGTGGGAGATTGGGTGGATTTCCTTGGATCTAATGGCTCTGGGTCATGTGGCAGGCATTCTGACCAGGATTGAGCCCTGTCCCAGTTGTCTCCTAGCCTTTACTGGCGGTGCGAGGATCACATATCAGTTTCGTGACAGAACTCTTTACTGGAGATGCGAGGATCAGTTCTGTGACAGCACCATCTCCGTCTAGTAAGCGTTAGCCCAGGAATGTGTTTATTGGGGGGAGGGGCTCAAGGCGTTCATAAAATGATCTTATAGTTTTTTTTTTTCTTTTTTACTTATACACTAAAACCCTCTTTTCCAAGGTATTATTTATTTAGAGATTATTTTTGATAGTTAGGAGGTTGGTCATGTACCATCTACCAGTAGGGGAGCCTAGCATTCCATGTGCTATTTTTAAACCTGTGTGGTTTGTCAGGCACCTTCTCCAGCCTTCCCGGAGACAAAGAGCCAGCTCTCAAAAGCTGAGGGCGCAGCTTTCATGTCTCTAGACACCAGTCATTTAGATGATGTCCAGTGAATATTTGATGATAAGGAGGAGGATTTGGCAGGGGTGGATCTTTTCCCGAAAAGAGCCATATTTATCCCCTGAGAAACGGAACCTAAAAGCAAATCACGGGAGGTTCTCTTTTGTACAAGCAAGGTTCCCTCTCTGGCAGGACTGACTCAACAGAGGGTGGAAGTAGCTGAGGTTGTCTCCGGGGTCTGTATTCTGCTATGTCATATTGCATTTATCCAACCCTAATTTTCCAAGTAACTTGTGCCCTTAACTTCCTCATCCAACCACTGTCACTTCTTGCCTAGTAATTAGTAAAGTAACTTTTGCATGGTCTCTGGCATCCAACCTGAGCTTTGACTGGAATCTTGGCCACTCATGTTCTTTCTAAATTCCTTGTCATGTTTCTCCTCCTCCTCTTCTTCCTTTCCCCCCACCCCCCTCCCTATCACCCTCATCATAGCCGTCAGCAAACATTTGCAGAACACCGATGCATGTCAGGCATTGAGATTTATGTGCATTATCTTATTTTTCCTGACACCCCATGAGGTAGGTAATATTTTTATCTCTATTTTAAAGACAAAGACACTGAAGTTTATGAAGAATGCTGTTAATCATCAGTGACTGGTGGATTGATTATGTTCATCATTTACAACCTATCTATTATCAAAGAGCATTGAGCGGAATGAATAACGATGTGCTGAGTAGATAGAACGAATCCTACTGGTGCCCTGCATAGCCAATTCCACGGACATCTCAACTTACAAGGCTTTTCAGGAATAACCTCCTAGTAGGCTGTCCACATTCCATGAAAGACCAAGGAATGGGGAATTTTCTAACCCTTGAAATCATATAACTGTAATATTAAAATATAGCTTTTTACAGCCCTTTTAAAGCACTTTAGTGTCTATTTTTTCTTATGGTGGATACTCACTACATCCCTGAAGGTTTAGGTGCCAAGGATGTAAATGATACTTGAAGATGTTAGAAGATTGTCTAAAGGAACCTGGGCTGGGCCTCAGGCTCCTGCTTTTTACTGTAAACACTTTTCCACGTACCACACAAAGATTGTTTGGGCTCGTGGAGGTGTGTATGAGAAGAAAAGGTGCCTTATATTTTCTCTAAGACTCTGTCCCAGAATCCACCCTTGGGACTGAATGGCTGGGCTACTAGTAATTATCAAATCTAATTGATCTTCTGTCGATAAGGATTTTAAGAAAAATGACCTAGTAGTTGACTGATTTGAAGAATTATAAGGAGAATGTGACTTTGGGGGGACTGTAGAAGGTGGGAGAAAAATAATGGTGGAATTCTGTTCTTTCTGTATTCATCAAGTTTAAAATTGGATCAATTTTAAGATGTGTTCCTATTTCAGAAAGAAAATAGATGTCAAAAATTGTGCTAATACATAATAATCCTATCATTTGTGGACTTCTTACTGCATTCTAAACACTGGGGTAAGCATTTAAAAATCTTTATAGTAGCCCTGCAATAAAACCTAGGAAATGGATATTATCCCCAATTTATAAATGAGAAAATTGAGGCTTGCTGGTATTAAGTTACTTGCTGGACTCAAGTGAAGACTGGCTGGCCCCAGAGCTATTGTGTTTTAACTGCAACATTATTTTTCTTCAGGGTAGCTCAGAACTTTTTAAGAAAGGATTTGTGACAGTTCTTTCACCAGACAAAGGTTTTAAAACTCAGTTTCATAAAGTTAACCCTATTTTCAGTTTACTTATTTATCATTTTTTAGAGATACACTCTTGCTCTGTCACTAGGCTGGAATGTGCAACTGTGATCATAGCTCACTGTAACCTTGAATTCCTGGGCTCAAGTGATTTTTCCCACCTCAGCTTCTTAAGTAGCAGGGGCTGTAGACACCCACCACTGTGCCTGGCTAATTCTTTTAAAATTTTTTGTAGAGATGGGATCTCACTATATTGACAGGCTGGTCTCGAATTCCTGGCCTCAAGTGATCCTCCTGCCTTAGCCTCCCAAAGTGCTGGGTTACAGATATGAGCCATGGCACCCAGCCCCTATTTCCAGTTTGTAAAAAACCAGTTATTGGTTGCACTGTGTCAATGATGTCCTGGAACCCTCCTCTAGTCTGGTAGTTTTAAGTGCTATCTGTATTTGCCAGCTGCCCCCAAATTTATATTCCAATGTAACCTCTTGCCTGCACTATCATGCAGTCACCTCCTTAGCATCTGCCCTGGTTTGTCCAATACGCCTCTCAAATGTAGCACACCCCAGACGGAGCTCTTCACGTGTTTCCTGCTATTCCTCCAGTCTTTTCCGTATCAATGGCATTACCATTTCCAAAGATACTTGGACCGAATCCTAGGTTTCCTCCCAGAGTCCTGAATTCTCTCAAACTCTGACTCCAACATCCAGACAGTCTCGTCTTTTCAACTTTCACAGTATATCCTAGATAGGACTTGTTTTCCCTACCCTCACTGCTAACTTCCTTGTCCAACCACTATCCCTTCTTGCCTAGATATAGACCAGTCCAGCAGCCAGCCAGCTTTCCTCTTTCCATTCTCACGCTGCTATGGTCCACTCTCCACCCAACAGCCAGAGTCATGTTTTAAAAAAGGTAACTTTAATAAGAACTGTCCAACTGGCAGGAGGTGGGAGGGCCGGTGGCAGGATCTCCTCTAATGTGCACAATGTGAGGGTGTTCGGCACACCCCCCGGGTGAAGGGCTCAACTACAACTTGAATTCTACCTCAGAATTGAAAACCATGCAACCTAAACCTTTGTAGCCTCATATTAATGTGGGAAAAAAAAACTCTTCTATGATTTTCCTTTTTTATTAAAATTCGCATTCTTCATTGCCGAATACAGGTCTCTCCAGCCATGCTGCTCTCCGCCCTCCTCCGGTGGGCTTCTTCCTCTCCCTCCGTCATCCCCAGCTCCTTCTCATTTAGGGAACTTTGTTCTCTCTGTTCCTGAAATAACCTTCCCCAGGTCTGATGGTCTTGGCTGGCGCTTTCCTTTCAATCTCAGATCAAATTTCATTTTCCCAGAGAGTGTTTTCTTAAGTACACTAAGTTAGAATACTCACCTCCTCACATAACTTTATCCCCTCTTTGCTTTTATTTTTTCAGACTATTTTAAGTCATCTTCTATATTTGTTTGTTTAGTACAAGGATGGTGGAACAGTACCCAGCACATATTTAGGAAGTAGATAAATTAATGAATTTTGCTGCTTTGAACATTTTCACAGAACTTAGTTTGGCCCCTCTTATAGTATTGCTACTAAATAAATAGTTCGTCAAATTTATTTGTACCAAGAAAAAGAACAAACCTGTTTTCTATTGCCTGTTTGTCTATAGATTTCTTACATATGCTATTTACATAAACTTGAAAGAAAAATAATGATGCATCATCGGATTCACTTTTAATCCAGAAGAGGTGGATCTTACCTAATTTCATAATTATTAAGTTGCTTGATCGCATTCTTGGCTTCCAGTTTATTTGAGAATGTTACAAAGGCATATCCTCTATTGTTGCCATTAAAATCCATCATCATTCTCATTTCATAAATTTTACCGATCTGTAAGTCACAGAAACAGAAAGTTCATATTTATACTTGCAGATGAACACGTACACACACACACACACACATGCACGCACGCACACACGCACACACACAATGTTTCCTGAAGTCGGCCTCCTACAGCACCGTTTGGCAGTGGAGTCCCATGTGGAACGGTTTGCATATTTTCATGCTGGGTTCAGTTCAATTATCTGACTTATGGGAAAAATCAAGTTAAATAAAGAAAATATGTACAAGTGACATGTCAACTTGACTTAACGGAATGTTTTTGACATGGTGAAAGACCTTTCATCCCATAATTATCTGGAGATTTATGCGATGTCTTAGGGATCTGAAAACACACGTTGTCATCCTAATTACGCTTTTTTTGATAGATTTGTCCATGCCCTCCAGAGGGACCTCTGCAGTCTCTGTAGTTTCATCTCTGCTTGGTCCTACTCTATCACTGATGTTTTCAACAAAAACCAAGAATGCTCGTTTGGAATGTTGGTATACTGACTTCCTAGCTGTCTTTTCTCCTTGTCATGACCTTGAAATGAACCCACATGTGTTTCAGAGGCTGATCTGGGAAGTCTTGTTATTTTCTCACCCTGAAGGCTGAAGGTCAGTGCTAGTCCTAATACAACTGACGCGGGGCCAGGGCCTCCACAGGTGGAGAGCACTCACTCCATCCTTATCGGGGCAGGGACTCTGCTTGCCCACAGAATTCTCCCTGCCACCACCCAGCAGCAATACAGACTTAGCTAGTGACCACTGTAAATTTTCTATTGCTGGCTGCTGTTCAAGAGGATTGCCCAAATCATCACACTATAATGGGCATGTCTAGGAGAAGTGTTATTAAGCGTATGCCATTACTTTGGTGGCTGATTACTTCTCAGCTCAAACCTCCTCATCCCAAGGTGTTCAGTGATGGATACCTATTTCTTCTGAGCTCCTTAGGAAAGACTTTGAGTATGTTTCATCTCTGTGTTTCAGGTGTTTCTTGATGCTCAATTTTATATTCAGTAAATATGATTTTTTTTTTTTTTGGGACAGAGCCTCAAGCTGTCCCCCTGGGTAAAGTGCTCTGGCATCACAGCTCACAGCAACCTCCAACTCCTGGGCTCAAGCAAGTCTCCTGCCTCAGCCTCCCAAGTAGCTGGGATCACAGGCGCCCGCCACAACACCCAGCTATTTTTTGGTTGCAGCCATCATTGTTGTTTGGCGGGCCCGAGGCTGGATTCCAACCCGCCACCTTAGGTGTATGTGGCTGACACCTAAGCCACTTGAGCCACAGGCGCCGAGCCAGTATATATGATTCTTACAGAATTAAGTCCTCATAATTTGTCCATGTGCCAGGTAGGATTGTATATATAAAATCAGATGTTTCTGCATCTGAGGCTGAGTTAGATAGACATGCACACACATACACATACATACACACAATTGATTGTGGCAATCAGGGAAAGAGCTAAATATTCACTAAATTTTTCAGTGATGTGCTTGTTCAAAACCACTCAGTAAATTATGGAAAATAAATTTTAATTTCTTATTTTCTCTTTAATTTGAATTTGGTTAATTCTTGATCTGAATTAAAACTGGAGGAATTTATTCCATAGTAAGTATTATATAATATAATATATGGTGCCATTGAGAAACCATATTCTTAATCTCACTGATGCACTAAGATAGACAAGAAATTGAGACTTACAGAAGAAAATTTCGTTCAGGATCAATATTTATAGGTATGTGTTTGAGCCACGACAAACATACGTATGCTTTTAATATGAAAACACTGTACTTTATAAAACCTTATTAAAATGTTAGGTTGGAGCAATAGCTAATTTTAGGCAGGTTGTAGTGTGATTGTAGATGGACAGACACACTGGGTTTGCAGAGTCACCAGTGGAGAGATTGGGGAACGAGGTATAGATATGAAAGTCAGTAGTGACTAGCAGGTCAAGCTGTCAGAAACAGCACAAAGATCTGGGCCAACAAAGGAGCAATCACTCACAGCCAGGAAGGCTTTAACTTTGTCCATGATTTTGAGGAATGGCAATTGGAAGAGAAACAAACTGTCATCAAGAAGAGTAAGAGCAGGCGGTGCCTGTGGCTCAAAGGAGTAGGACCCTGGCCCCAAATGGGGGTAGGGGAGCAGGTTTAAACCCAGCCCCAGTCCAAAAAAAAAAAGAGTAAAAGAACAGTGACGAGAATGGTATTTTTCCCTTGAAAGATAAGAAAAAGTAAATGTTAAATTTGGACTTACTTTTTCACATAGTGGTATAAGTTCATCCTCAAAAAGGTCTCGGGGAAGTTTTCCAATAAAAATTTCACAGCCCCGTTCTGGGGGTGCGGCATCCCAGCCAGGCGGAGGGCCACCGTATTTTCTTTGTCCATTTTCCTGCAAATCCCCGGCGGGTACGAGGAAGAAAAGAAAATGTTAACATCAATGTCTTAATGTCTTGAAAAATTATTTCCCATTAATGACCATATTTATTATTGACTAATAATAGCTGGCTGCTTAAAGGAGAAGAATGAAAGTCTGTTTTATGTGGATTATAATCCCGTGTTCCAGGGGTGCATCAGCAACTTGCTTGAGATGAGCATTATTAAAACTTATAAAGTGCTAGGCAAATGTAAGGGATTATTATTATTTTTAAATTTTCTGTTAAGAACAATTACCTTCTTAAAAAAATCTATGAATTATTACTTATTGGTTATATTATTTTTTTTTTGTCATATAAACTCACCAAAGCCAGATCCCTGAAGGATCTGACTATAATTTAAATGTGGAACTCTGATTTAATGATGAGGGCTGTGTACTGTGGTGATAAGTATCCTGGGGCCAGACTCCTCGGCTCTGTTGCTCACTAGCTGTGGGACCTCAGGCAAACCACTTCTCAGGACCTCAGCTTTCTCACATGTAAGGTGTGAATAATGTCAGCCTTTGATTACAGGCAACATTGGATCACATATGCGTGGCTTTGGGTATGTGCTATACCTTTAATAGTTATTAATTTCCTTTGGCCTCTTTAAATTTAAGTGGTTTCATATACCGAGTAAAGCAATGTGGCTTCCGGATAAGAACATATGAAGATTAACATTGGAAGGCGTGAACTGGGTAATTTTGGGGATAGCTGGAGAGGGACTTAAATCTATTTTCAAGATAAGACAGTGAGAAGTTTACTGACACTGAATCTTTATGTGGGGTGCAATAATTTTCTCAGTTCAAACGAAATGGACTTCTGTTTTTGAATTTCCTTTGTCCTAACAAATGACCTGTGGGGGGAGGGGTAGCATTGGTGTTTCTCCGCACCTTTAACCCCTTTATGTTTCTGGAGGTTAAAGACCTACAAATAACGTCAGGGGCCCCAAAGTGAAGTATAGGCCTAATACACCACTATTGATCTGAAATATTTAATAGTTCATTTGTTGGAAAAGGTAGACAAATTGATTTTCACAGAAACACAGTTGGAATTCTTTGTCATTATATTTCATTATGATTTTGGTATTAAAAATGGACTAAACATCCGTATTCATTACTCAGTTCTATAAACTAATATTGAAAGTTTTTGTTTTTAGACAGAGTCTCACTACGTCACCCTCGGTAGAGTGCTGGGGCAACACAGCTCACAGCAACCTCCAACTCCTGGGCTTAAACCTCTTGTCTCAGCCTCCCAAGTAGCTGGGACTATAGGTGCCCACCACAATGCCTGGACATTTTCTGTTGCAGTTGTCATTGTTTTTTAGCTGGCCCAGACTGGGCTGGAACCTGCCAGCCTTGGTGTATGTGGCTGGTGCTGTAACCACTGTGCTACAGGTGCCGAGCCAACTAATATTTAAAGTTTTATGCTATAAATGATAGATATTATTGGGAGGAAAACACAGTGATATATAAAATAAAAAGAAAATTTCTCCAATGTACCATTCTACCCATATTTAGATATAGATACTGTTAAATGTTTCTGCCTTCCCATATAGTATAGTTTTTGTCTATATACTGTATTTTTAAAAGATGTATGTTAGTTGTTTAAAGACACTTTGGCAGGGGAGTGCTTTGCTATTTAAAATCAAGGCAACTTGTACTGTCCCTCTTAAATCTTTCTATATACCAACTTGAGTTTTTTCTATTATTTTATAAGTGTTAGCACAAAGACTCCTTAGATCACAGTATTGAATTGATGTCTGTGGTCACGTCACTTTTTTATTCCTACTAGTTTACATTATGTTTCTTTAAATAATAGTGATAATACAGTTGTATATGAGTCTCTACCTTGCCTAGATTACTTTTTTGTTTCCAAAAACTAAGTATTTTTTTTTATCTTACTGAATATTTAAAATTTTGCTTATAGTGTTCTCACATATTTTTTTCTTTAATATTCTTGTAGGATTGTCCAGTAACACAACTTTGGCATCACTGAGAAATCTGAGAAATAAAGTGTTTTATGGTTGGCCGGGAGCGGTGGCTCATGCTTATAATCCTAGCCCTCTGGGAGGCCAAGGTAGGTGAATCGCCTGAGCTCATAAGTTTGATACCAGCCTTAGCCAGAATGTGATTTCATTTCTAAAAAGAGATGGGCATTGTGGCGGACACCTGTAGTCTTAGCTACTCGGGAGGCTGAAGCAAGAGAATCTCTTGAGCCCAAGAGTATGAGGTTGCTGTGACATCATGGCACTCTACTGAGGGTGACAAAGTGAGACTGTCTCAAAAAGAAAAAGACATGTTTTATGGTTACAGAAAAAAAAAATCTTAATTCAGCGGTCTGTATCTCAATCAAGACTTTCCCCCCAAAAGTAAAATTAATATTTGCAGAAATATTAAAGGCTTTATTTACTCAGAACAAATACCTATCTAGCACTTGTAACATGTCAAATATTATTTTAATCTTTACAACAACGTCATGGGTTAAGGACTGTTATTATCCCATTTTACAGAAGATACTGAGGCCCAGAGAGATTAAGTAACTTGCCAACATCATGTGGTTGGGAAGTGAAGAAGCCAGGATTTGAACCCAGGCAGTCCGCTTAATCTCTACATTTTGCTGCTTTGATAGATGGAACCAATCATTTTATTACACAAAAATATTTGAAGGTTGTATCTCACATCTATTTCTCACAGAGAGGTATACTGTTATAGGTTGAGCATCCGTAATTTAAAAAATCCAAAATTCTCCAAAATCTGAAATCTTTTGAGCACTGTCATGCTACTACCAATGGAAAATTTCACATAAATTTCATATGATGGGGGCACAAAATTATTGAAACTATTCTATAACATCACCTTCAGGCTATGTGTATAAGATATATATGAAACATAAATTTCACGTTTTGGGTCCAAACCACAAATTGTCTTATGTATACACAAATATTCCCAAATCTGAAAAAAAAAAGATCCCTAACATCCAAAAACCTTCTGGTCCCAAGCATTTCACGTACAAGATACTCAATCTGTATATATTGCCAAACTACCACCTTCCTCCTTAGGCCAACTCACCCCATTTGGGTCTGAGTCCATTTCTGTCTATCTTTGATATCTATGACATTCAACAGATTAATGAAATAAATTTAGTATAAATTTGGTAGTGATTTTGTCATTCGGATTGAGGAAATGAAACTTTCATCCTGTAAATATAACGTTAAAGTGGCTATTCCAGAATTGCTGATTTGACAAGCGTTATCTGATATTTGAAAATAAATAGGCAGCCAGCAGATAGACCTGTTTTTAGTTCCTCTTCAACTTCTTTATTGCTACATTGTTGGAAACGTCACCCAACTACTTTGTGCATATCATGTGTATAGGAATGTTCATCAATTTATCCAAATTTATTGTCTTTCTGTGGTTTCTAAGAACACTTGAAAAGAATTCCCCATTTTGGGGGGATCTGCTCTGAATTTCACTCAGTTGGAGAGGCTTGCACTGTGAACCACCCACCGGCCTTGGAATGCACCAGTGGTGGAAGTACAGACCCATTTAAGACAGGCACTGGGCATTAGTCATGGGGTTAGAATAGCTGTCCATTACTCAGAAAGGACAGTTGGGCTCTCGTTTGCTGGTATTTTAGGCACTATTTTTATAGTTGAGGAGTTTAAAATAGATAAAGCCTAATTATAACTGCTCCTTTTCCTCTGGCTGATGTCCTTCTCATGGGATGCCTTCACCCCAGCACCACAACTGTATTAATAGTTCAGGGTAAAAGAATATAAGTTTTTATTTTTCATGAGAGAATTTTCATTAAACTCTGTGAACTTTAATTTTTCCAATTAAAACTTGGAAAACTATTATCTCTTTCTAGTTACATATAAGTAGGTAGAAAACCTTCAAATGTCAATTAAAAATTGAGGACACAATTCTAACTATAAACAGCTATAGCATAAATATTGGAAGCTGAGACTATCTATAATGCAAGAATATGTGTAATATCCTGTTACGGATATTTCACGTTCTTCATAGTGGAGCCATAGACTCTTCCAGAGACTGTGTCTACCCTCTTGACCTTGACTACAAACCATACAACCTTCTTCCATAAATCATTCTAATCAATACATCTCAGCATGGAATTCGAATGAACTGAATTCATTTTAGCCCCCAAACATCTGAACATAATACACATCTGGGGGATTCTGGGCAAAACTGCCTTCTACAGGACTCAACAATGTCAGATACTTGCTTTGCCAGCTTTCCTCGCAGTTGAGACAGTCGTGGTTACTGTGAAGTCAAACTGAGTTCTGGTGCAGAAATCACATGTGCGCAGACTTTCATGTTGAGTTCTCTATGATGATAGGTGCATTTTCTTAACATGACAGACGTGATGTAGCATGGGGTTTTTAAACCAATTCTCCCAATGCTAAGTTTCTGTGAACTGGTAGCCTTCATACCTTTCTAATTAGCACTGTTACTTGCACTTACTAGTAGTGCAGCTAGCCTCCGTTGAGTTAGCACTGTGCTAGGTATTTTATAAACCTGTGAGAACAATACTGCCATTACGTTAATTTTATGGATAAGAAACCCAAGGCCTAGACTGTGTTCATAGTCACACAAACAGCAAGCAGCCGAGATCACATTTGGATCTTAAGCCCATGCTCATCCTGACATTATTTCTCTTTGGCTTTAACCAAAAATGTTCTTTATACAAGTGAGCTAACTTGAGTTCAGAGATACCCTGTGACTTGCTTAACATCACAGAATGCACAAGCATAGAGGATCTATGATGTTTGATCTGGAGGACTTTATGGCACATATAGTACTCATAAATTTAGGCGATGTTTCTTTTCAGGCTCATCGGCCTCATAGTTCCTCTTTTTTCTTTTTTTAGAGACAGGGTCTTACTTTGTCACCCTCAGTAGAGTGCAGTGGTGTCACAGCTCATGGCAACCTTCAGCTCCTGGGCTTATGCGATTCTC